GCTCTCTAAAACCTATCCAAAATCATTACTGTTAAAGCAGTAAATGCAGGACTGTGGATCATGTCACTGCAGCTGACAATGATTAACAATAAGAAACATGCAACCCCCATTAAGTTTAAAAGTCCAAAACTAGTCACACGCATCTCTTTATCGGGAAAAATGAGACTATTATGCATTCTTTGTAGGTTTTGCAACCTTGTATGAAGAGCACCCATTGCATTTCTTTCATCTTTCATAAAGCACCGGTATCTATTCCCAAGGGCCTAACAGTACGAAAATGCATTCTGGCATCACACCTCTGAACTTGCGACCACTGTCATTAAAAATAATTTTTGTTTGTAATAAGAAAAGACTATGAAATACAATGCAAGCACCTGGGATATAGTTACTATTGAAACCCGTTTATCCCATTTTGACTGATTTTTAAGAAGACCCTCTGCACTAAAATTCACAAATTACAGCTACATACAAATCAAAACTAGTAAGAATCAACTTAAGTCACAGGTTTCTCATTGAAAGTGCAAAACCTATTCATCTTGAAATAAGCAGAATGAAGCAAAATTACCCCCCCAACCCGATGATGTCCATATACCAAGTACATTCTCTCAAAAGTGCTATTGACTGTTAAGAAATAAACCTGATCTTTTATTTCTAAACAATCACTGAGCCACGGGAGCCAAGTGTTGGCTACCAACTTCATGGATTATGCCATAGGAAAACCCCATCAGAATTGCATGCCAATTTCGTGACACTATTGTCACTAATACTGAGCATTATGTTGGATGTACATTGTATTACTAATACAGAGCTAAACTAGTCACCATTTGTTCTTTCATCTAGCAGAAGTCAAGTCATTTGGTTGAATGGACTACATATTAAAATTACAAGTCTGTCCCCACCATGTGAACTGCTTGCCAAAGAGCAAGCCATTTTTCTTGATACAAAAAGAAATTCTCGTAATTGTCAAGAGTTTTGCCAACATTTATGTGAAGTAAGCCAAACTTTCCAGTTACAGAGCAGAAAACATTATACATGAATGCTATTTCTCATGCATGCTAGCTAAAAGTCAGTTCATAGACCAATGTTCAGTTGAATTGCAGTCTGGAACAACTGTCGATGCAAATCTTAAATCCTGAACAACAAAGAGGGTGCTTTTGAAGACTTACTATTTTGGTAATCGAACAGTTTGGACTGCAACATCTCATCCCTAAAAAGCTAAGGGAACCAAATTCAAAAAGCTACCCTGAACATTTGCAGTTATCCTACAGAATACGACGAAGTCTTACAATTGGGAAATGATTCCCAACATGTATTCAATAGGCAAGTCAACATGCCACACCATCTTCCCCCAGGTTTAGAGTATAGACATATTTAGACAAATCACAGAACTTGAACTATTCATGTTAGATTCCCATCTATGCCCCCAGTTAGTAACAAAGCTGTTCCCATGGAGCCCATTTAAAAAATCTTCAAATCACATTGCAAAAAAAAAAACTGTACTTTTAGTTTTAATTCACTCAACCCTGTGGAGTAATAGCCAAGATTACACTCTGAAATTGGTACTGCTGACCTGTGGGGAGGTCAGTTTGCTGTAACAGAAACTATTTGTCACATGCTATATACAGTCTGTGTCAAGATGCTAAAAGTACTCTACTTTCCAAATATGGTATGGTCCCCTCTCCCCCACACCACTGATGTGTTTGTTATCTTCAGTTACGATGCAACTAAAAACCACACAACTGAATCAGATACATACCAAATACTCAAGTTTGCACTTTTTATCTGAGAACTGCAACAGCACTTAATTCTGCCTGAAAAATTACAGCTCTAAACCCAAACCCACACAGTTTTGATATAAGCTAGCTTTATCATACACGTGTTAGGTGCTGCACTGTAATTTCATTGTCAGAAGTATGATGTCAGAATGCCCACGGAATAAAAGTACATAGCAAGTCACCAAGTTAGATTATATTGCTTGTTACCTACCTGTATGCAGTCGGCAATGAGAATCTCGGAGCAAGCAGGAATACTACATCCGGGTCCTAATGTCCATTGCCATTTGCGGTACTACGTTCCTCACAGTTACGCACTGCAGAAATGCTGGCTAAATGCAGTTATGTAGCAGGCCACTACTTTAATAGTGCACAATTGCAGTCCAAGAACACCAGAAAATATTCCGCCACAAACGTAGTGGCTTGCCCAAGAAAAGCCACGTATCTAAATTTTTATCTGCCATGATATGCCACTTACAAAAATTGCACAGGCGTAACATTACAATTTCCCAAATTATTGTCTATTTATATTAGTGATATAATACATCTAATAAAGAGTGGTGGGGTTTACAAGTACTTCTTAGAAGTTTAATTAGTGTTTTAAGCGAAGAGGATTATGGTTTCACTAAACATGAGTCAATGGGTTAAGTTTCTAAAGTACCTACTAAATACATTGGGATCTCTTAAGAGAATGCAGTTTTTAAAGATAAGGAGTAATAAGAGGAGCAGTTAGTTTTAAAACAATCAAGTGTTCCTCTTAAAATTATGAGAGAAAGTGGAGAAGAGGAAATGGGGGCAGGTGCTTTCTTTAAATGAGAAGAATGGCCAAAATACCTCTCAACTATTACCTTCCCTTTCCCACCCCAAGTTTCGTAAATCAGCTTTTAGGAATCTACTTTTTAAGATGATTTAAATTCACATTAGGCTATCATATACACTGCAAGACTTGTTGAAAGTCTGAGTAGCTTACAACCCTTGATACACTGCTATTTCAGTGATAAAAGTCAAAACTTAGTTAAAACTAAGCAACATTACTTGCTAAACAATGTTTAGCAATTCTACACAGTAAGGCTATCAAAACCACAACTTTCAGGAGATAATCCATTAGCATCCTTCACCACTCTTCAAAGGTACAGTACTACGAAAAGCTTATTTTAGGGGTCTGTGCCAGCATCCCTTACAAAGAAAGGCATGTAATCTGAAAAATAAACTGAAACATTAATTTTATAGGCAGATTTTCCCATTTCCCCACCAGCCCCCACCCACACATTCAAGTTCACCCTCTGTGGGTGTCCCATGAACACCCCTTATTTTCTTATCATTAGCGGGAGTCCCTACCACACAATTCAAATTGTAATGGACTCCTTTCAAATCAAGACCCTTGTTTCCAGTACAGAAAATCTCATACATTATCACCAATTAATGACTTGGGACAAAACTTCCTCCTATGATATAATTATGGTAGAACTACTCATTTCCAAGTGTCTTGGTGAACAGAAATAATGAACATTTTCGAATGAGATTCTCTCCCTTAATTAGCACACCAGGCACCTGTCAGTCACACAACCAGAATTTGGTGGCATGCCTTTATACTCCACCAGTATTTATTAACAGGTTCCCTATGCACAGTGCTCAGCTGTTTCCACTATAGGTTTCCCTTTGTACTCAAGCACAATACTAAACTTACTTCAGCATTTAAACAAAGACTTGATTTAGAATTTTACTTTTGCCAATTAACACTAAGAGGTGAAAAAGAGGAAGACATTCCACAGTTTAAGAGTTCTATAATGTACAAATTTGAATGGAAACATAGCGAATATCAAAGCCAAACCATTCAATTACTTTTCCTACTTTTAGGAAATTGTTCCTCTGCTTATATATACACTGGGAAAGCAGGTGTTCCCAATGTACTAACAGACACCAGTAACAAACTATTTCATTAGTAAGTCAAAATGTCTCTGATGGAAGGAGAGTCAATGAAGTTGACGTTAAACTGACAACACCATCGAAACACTCCAAAAGCTTTATGGTGGGAGAAAGGAACATCTGCACTGTGTAGCACGAGCAACTCTCTCCAGATTTTGTGCCACATCAAAAGGAAACTATGAAAAACAAAAATGTTTTGTAACAATGGTTCTCTGCAACCCTATGTTATTAACAGTCACTACAAGCTCTTAGAAAACAGGTTTTCTCCATAGTCCTACAGATTTTGCCCAATAGAAGTAGCACAAGGAGATGTAAAAGAGTACAAGTATATACATTTCTAACCTACTTCATGATTAACTATACCTTTTTAATTGAATTATTCACACTAAACTCCACCTTTATAAATCACTTAAAAGTAATACATGAAAAGGCTTCATGTTTAACAATCTTTAATTCAAATGTGAAAGTTCAATACAAGCCGTTTGTAGGGCTTGGGACTCGTTTTTTAAAAAACAAGAATGGAGGAATGCAACAAAATGATCTTTCCACTTTTTCTTCAGAAACTTTCAAGGAAAGAATAGAATAGATCATAGGGCCATAAAAGATCCATTTAAGTCATACCCACTTTCTCCCCCTATCAATAGTCTTACACCCGTTCCATAATCTTGATACATATTCCTGAATGAAGATTTACAGTTCAGCTTTGCTTACATAGCCATTTAAAAATACTTAGCACCAGCTTGCTTCCTTGCCAAACAAATCAAATCATGAAACTACTTCAATAAGCATTTCTTCTTTTTAAAACAAGGGGGTACTTATAAGTAGAAAGCAATACTTAGCCTACAAATAACATTTCCCAGAAATGGCATATGCCATTCAAAGGCCTAGACACTCTTATGCTTTCCAAGTGGAATACCTAGCCTAATGTGCATAGAAGCATGAATGGCAAAGTTGAAGATCAATATCATAACTATTTTTTCTATTTATTTGAAGCACAGTAAAAAAAAAATTGGTACACTTTGGAAATTCAGTGGCACAGGTACACTGCCATAACTTGAGGGACATTATACAGTTTAAAAAAAAAAAGAAAGAAAAAAAAGAAAGGAAAAAAAAATTCCCCTGTTGCAAACACTGCATTACATAATTTTACCTGCCCCAACAGACCATTTACAAATATTAGGTCAATAAACTGCTAACATCCATAAAAAGGTTGCTTTCTTACTAAAATGCAAGAATTTAAAAGATTGGTATCTAAACAAGAAAAGACAAAAACAAACTGGAATGAAAGCCTAGATATCACATCTAAAATCGGGGTTTTTTGTTTGGGCCTTCATACTCTTCTCTCCCTCTACCATATCCTGCTGGAGTTCCAGGCCCCATTCCTCTAGGACCCTGTCCACCCACAGGTCCCGCACCTCCCTGCCCAAAGCGCTCAGTACGCTATTGGAACAGTAATCAACAGTTCATTATATGTAGTTGATGTCCATGTGTGTTAAGTAAATATTTTAGAAGGTTCCGTAGTCAACGTTCGTCGATACAATCACCAATGAGTCGATCCACAGGCACCGGGAACATAGAAAGGAAAAAAGGGTAATTTGAAAATTAGTTTACGGTAACACATGCCTTGTGGTATGTTCCCACTTGAGCCATTCTCATACACCTGTTTCAAAGAACAGATCTTCCCTGTAGTGCTAAGAAATTTAAGAATTAGTGCAGATGTGAAAACCCATTCCAAAATGAGTTTTAAGAAATTTCACATCAGATTAACCCACTGAAAAGCTTACAAACTTGCTTTCAAGGTCTGAACAGGAAATTTACTTTCCAAGTAAGCCTAACAAGCCCAACCAGACAGATTCAATTCACTCAATGAAGTGACAAAGACCTACTCACCAGTTAGTGGTATGTGCTGCATAAGAAACCTTGTGCTTTTCAAGATCTTAAGACACATCTGCTAAGTTGCAGAAATCTTAAAAGGTTCAAAGTTTTTAATAAAATGCTACCAGACTACAAAAAGAAAAAGAATAGAAGACTAATAGGTTTAGTCACTTAACCGGCACAGTAATTTGATTTAAAAGTGTTGCCATATTCTCTCCAAGTATATCACCTTCACAGCCATCACTACATAAAACCAGAGAAATTATGTTCACAGTACTGTTCTTTATAGTTGCAAATTAACTGAACATACAGCCCACCCTCATAACAGCCCAACTTTTCATTTTCCCTCATGTCTGTGAAAAGTCCCGACAGTTATGATTTCGTGTTTCGGGTGTCTCCCAAACAGCATTAACACCAAGCTTAAGTGACTGCAATAAAGCAGGACTTTATTCCATCTAGTTTTAGGTTAATTCTAGTCCTAGAAACCTGTGATCCCAAACAGAGTAACCCTACAGATATGCAAGCAGAGCAGCCTGAACTATCTTTCAAATTCATATAAAGCAGACCAATTATTAAGAGTATTGCTCAAAACACAAAACAAAACCCCAAAACAGAACAAAAATCCAACAAAACCCCCCAGAAATTAAAAAAGGCATCAGGGTTTAAAACTGTTATTATAAATAATTTCAACATGCTTCCTACAAAATACTATAGGGCTACTTAAGACTAAATCCTAATCCTTCAAACTATTTCAAAATCCTAACAATTTTAGGTTTTCAGTGCAATTTCAGGTTTGTATTATCTCTAAAAGGTGAAAAGGAAATTTGGGGGTTTGTTACCACATCATCTCAGAATCCAGGAGCTACATGTCACAAGGACTGTAGAATCTGAACTGTGGGAACATCGTGTCAAATAAGTTACAAATTTGATATATAACCTATATCTGACTATTAGGAAGCATATAAACCAAAATATAACCCACATTATTTTTTAAATTCATTTTGAAGCTAACAGCGCTACATTTAACCCTCCAACTACTTATGATTCTAATCTTCAAAGCCTTAAGTAGATGAGGCCCCATTCTATATCCTTGGTATTTGCACAAGCATCTAGTGAGCTATATGCTGCAGCTTCTCTCCCTCTGCCAAAAGACTGTAGATGAGCTAATTAGATTCAGTTCAGTTGTGACAAAGCACATTTCTCCAAACCCACCTCTACAGCCAATTCACTTCTTTAAGGATTGGAAAATCCCGGGACCACCACTCAGACCAATTCTCTTGGTTGTTCTAAAGGATCCTGACAGGCTATCTGTACAGCTAAAATATGACACGATCAAGAAGGTTCAGATCAAATGCACACAACTAGTATGCTAAAAATAACACTGACTTTTGCTATTCTGTAGCAAAAGAGAGATGTCCATTTATTTTAGAAAGTACACCTAAAGACAGGCCCAACAGGAGGGAAACGACGAGTCCGAAGACTAAACAATTCCCTTTTCATGGATAAAGTCACACCAAATGTAGGTCAAAGTCCTACACATTGCTAAAACATGCCTAAAGCTACAAGCTACAAACAAGTCTGATTCACACTTATGGCAAATACCAGCTTAATGAATGACAGCTTGCCATTTGATTACTCTCACTTGGATGTAGAATAATCAGTATCTAACATTTAGAATTTGGATTTGCCATGAGCTACTGTGCAGAAGTACACAAGCAATATAATGGAAAGCACCTAAGTCTACTTATTGCCAAAGATAACTCCCAACATACTACTAACAGTATTGACTTTTTGTTGGCAACCTTATCAGGTGAGGTTACCACATTGAGTTCTTCTATGTTGCCAAGGTATTCATCAATATTACGGATTTACACGATAGGGGAACTAAAAGAAGTCCAGTCACCTACTTAAAAAACAAAAACAAAAAAAACACACACACGTAAGTTGTGAGAATGAGAACTTCCTTTTGAACTATGTCCCACAAAATACATTACCATGTCGCTTCCCATCATGGAACCACTCATTGTTGCCGGTGGAACTCCAGGATTAGCTTCATAACCTATGCCACCACCACCACCTAGAGGTGGAAATTTCTGGCCTCCTGAGCCATAGGGATCTAGAAAACAAAAATGCTGGTTACCACTCAATCAAAATACTGCCCTTCATTAGCATTACTAATTTAATTTTCATTCTTACCTCCCATGTTCATTGCTCCTCCACCACCCATTCTCATGTCTCTTTCTCTCTGAAATTTAAAAAAAAAAAAAAAATCCTTTAGCACCCTTGTACTAAACCCATACCAAGCATTCTTAACTACCAAGAAATTTCCAAAGCTTAACCAAAATTGTTTTCAACTTAAAGAAAGAAACCCTATTAGGCAATTTTAAAAAAACGCCATTATAAAAAAACCTATAAAGCAAGCTTCTTCCTAACCAATGAAATCTTTTGGCCCACCCAAGGAGGAGGCAAAACTCAAGGCACATCAATCATAAACACTTAGGTTAAAAAGAAAAAAAAAAAGGCAGAACAGCTACCATGTGGAAAGTCATATTTAACTGAATAAAACTGCACCCTAGATATCCACAAATTCTATAGAAAACTCCATTGCCAAAAGTTCACTTACTGGATCCATATAGCCCATCCGACTATAACTTTCCTCTCTTTGGCGTCTCATCTGTTCTTCCATCTCACGTTGACGAATCATCATCTCTTCTTCCCTCCTACGTCGTTCTTCCTCTTGCCTGGATACATTCATTAAGTATGAAAACAAAAGCTTTTTATGCACATTAAAAAAATTCAACTTGAAGCAAACTAGTAGTTTATTTAAGAGCATTACAGCAAATGGAAGGTTGGGACAGTGACTAGCAAAAAAAAAAAAACCCCTAAATGTATTCCAGCAAAGTAAATGAGCCATATAACAGAAATCTCTATTTCACAATTTAAGCATTAAACCAACACTGACATAGTATTTAATAACATCTCTGTACCTCAACCGACTCACCTGCAAAATTTAGGTACACTTAACACTTAAACAAAGGTTTAACAAAATTGTACCTCAATTGCATCTCTTTACGTTTCTGCATTTCTTGATTGTGCAGTTCTTCCATGCGTCTTAATTCTTCCTGGCGTCTCATTAGATCTGAACATTGGAAAATTCTGTTATAGATTCACATTAACAAATTCTAGTAAGCTCAAAAGGCACATGATCCTACTAGCACAATTCAGAAGGTATTTTACCTTGACGCAATAGATTTGCCTGATGCTCATGATAGGCATCTTCCATTTCACTTTCCAATTTGTCTTTTGCATCTTTCATGTTTTTTTCAACTTGTTCCCGCTGCTGTTTTTCCATTTCATCAAGGGACTTCCACCGCTGAGAATACTCATACTCAAATGTCCCATGCTGGGCAAAACGAGGAGGGGTTTCTCTCTCCCTGACAATATTTAAATATGAACCAATTTATGGATGCACACAAGAAATATATGTATTTAATGTCCCCTAAAAAACACTGGTCCTTCCACTGGCTTCTCACTTCTAAGAAACACTGGAAGGCAAAAATTACCTTGATTCTTAGTATCTCTTTACATTCCAGGATGATACTAGACAGTAACATGGGCAATGAAGATCAATCCTATCTTCCTCACTGTCCTAATCCCACTTCCCAAGCCAGTTTCAACTCAAAGATTTTTCCAACTTTGAAAAACCAGGTATCTACAACACATCTTAACAACTGTTAAGAAAACAAGACTGCATACGAAATGTACCTACCACAGAAACACACACTAGGTATTTGAATGACTGCTTCTAACTAGAGGTTAGAAACCTCTAGCTTTCTAACCCTGAAGTTTTCATTAACCATATCTAAGATTTTTGTACATATTAAACAAAACTGAAAAATTATCAAGTTTTCCGAACTTACGGTTGCTGAAGGGGAAAGGATAGTTAAGAGTTGGGTAAGGCATGCACACATTCCTATTATTTAAAATAGATAACCAACAAGAACCTACTGTACAGCAGAGAACTTTGCTCAATGCTATATGGCAAACAGGATGGGAGGGGAGTTTGGGGGAGAGTGAATACATCTGCATGTATGGCTGAGTCCATGTGCAGTTCACCTGGAACTATTGAACACTGTCGATCTGCTATACCCCAAAACAAAATTGAAAGTTTAAAACAAAAAAAAAAATGAACAAGTTCTCCTTTGTACTTTAAGAAATTGTTCTTACTTTTGATACATTGGATTCTTCTGGGCAAGTTTTTCAGGAAGACCGTCTTCATCATCTAACTGTTCGAGTGGTTCCACAATGACTGGACGAGGAGTTCTAGCAACAAAATGGTTTCATCTTAATTTCGTTCCAGCTTTATTGCAATTTCTTTGAAATGTTAAGAGTTACTAAGATAAACATAAAAACTTACGTTGTCAGTAAGAAAACACCTTCACTGCATCTTTCAAATGCTTTTCTTGCTGCTGGTTTGGAAGCAAATTCAACAATGCCTTTCCCTGTAGATCTTCCACGATCATCCACTATTACAACAGCCCTTTCAATAGGACCAAACTGGCTAAAGGCTTCTTCCAACAGTTCATTGGAAACATAAGGTGAAAGATTTCGAACAGAAAGGGCAGCAGCATGTGTAGCAAATCGAACCCGAAGCTGTCTACCTCTCATGGGTGTATCATCAAGTTCAGCTTTAGCTATTTCGGCCAACGCTCTAGATTCCTGCAACCATCAAAATATACTAAGTTAATGACCTCAAAACTGGCTAATGCCCACCCTAAAATTGCCACAAGTCTAACCCCACAATCCTATTCTTCTGCCAGCTCAGTTCAACTTATCTCCAAGAAGTCTTCCCTGACACTTACCCACCCAATCCCCCGTTTTAAATATTATGCACTATACAGCAGCTACATCTTTTCTGTGAGAGATGAAAACTTTGTAAAATTGTTGGTTCAAAAAACACTATGTAGTAGTAAAAAGAGAAGTCCACCAGAAAAACACAAAAACCAAACTCACAAGCTTAATAAATCCAAATCCTTTGCCTTTGTTTATAAAAACTTCTCCTGGTTCTCCATATTTAGCAAAAAGTCTTTTGAATTCATCCTCCGTGATGTCTGCAGGTAGATTACCAACAAACAACCGACAACGCTGGGTGTAAGTTTTCTCTCCAGGCCTCCTCAGGAGTGACAAGTTGGCTTTAAACCCCTGGTATAAAAAAAAGGCAACTTTCAAATACAAGGTACCAAGTAGGAAGAAGCAATAGTCTTTTCCCCAAACTGAATATGTCACCTATCCAATCGGGCTGTTCTTCTGATGCATTTAAAGATCATATTACATGCCTAACCGAACTTCCAAAATAATCACTCGTAACATTAAAGAGCCTAAACCATCAGAATACTCTTGAGAAGACAAATCTCTCCAGAGAGTAGGTTCTGTATCAGGAACCTCGTCAACCGTTTATACCTAACGTCCCTGACAGCATCAAAACTACAGTGGACAAAAATTAAAAAGGGTGGAAGGGTATTAATAAAACGACTTAAAACTGTTGTCAACGACGAAACCTGTGGCTACGCGTTAGGACAAAAAATCGCCCGATCTCGTCAATCCCAAATTTCACGCTATATTCTTTACTCTGGGCCCCAGAATCCGTTAGCTTTAACAGGGCCCATCAAACTTTCCTCAAGCCACCCTCTGCCAGCCCGGAGGCCTCCCCAGGGATGCCGCTAGCGGACCCGCGAGGCCGCCCCTCAATCCCGCAGCCCCGCCCACCCACTCCCGCCTCCCGCGCGCAGGCGCCCTTTCCGGTCTCCGACAAAATGGAGGGTGGGGAGGGGGGCCGCCGCCATCTTAGGAAAACCGACGCGTAGCTCAGGTTGATACTCACCTCGGAGTCCGAAATTTTTTCTTCGCTGCGGCCGCCAGGCCCTCCGGGCGGCGGCCCTTGGTGGTGCTGCTGGTGGTAGGGCGGATGGTGTTGCCGGCCCCCACGGGGCTCCCCGCCACCTCGGTGCGGTGGCTTAGGGTGGCCGCCAGGAGTGGTTAGGCCCGGGCCGCCGCCAGGCTTCGGCCCGCCTGGCATTTTGCCGCCCTTGGGGCCGCCGGGTCCCGGGCCCTGCTTAGGCCCGGGCACCGGGCCCCCTGCAGGTGGTGGAGGCGGCGGGCCCCCAGCCTGAGGGGGGGTGCTGGGCACCCCACTGCTCGGCGGAGCCGGTGGAGGCGCACCTGGGGGCGCCGAGGTGACAGCGGGCGGCGGGGTCGGGGTGGGCCCTGGCCCCGTGGGGGCCCCCGAGGTCGGGGGTGTGGCGGGCGGCGCCGAGCCGGTGGCCGGAGGGGCGCTGCCTACTCCGGGAGCCGAACCGGGTCCTTGAGGAACGACAGACTTAGATGAGTCCTGTGGCGGCGGCGGCGGCTGCTGGTGCGGCGGCGGCTGCTGGTGCGGCTGGTGCGGCGGGGGCTGAAGCGGCGGCGGCTGCTGCGGTGGCGGCTGCTGCGGCGGTGGCTGCTGTTGTTGCTGGTGCGGAGGCGGTGGCGGGATCTGAGGCTTGGGGCCACCTTGGCCCGGCACGGGCCCCATGGGTCCGCGATTCTGATTGAGGCCCATGCCGGGCGGCGGGGAGCGGAAGTCGTGGAGGCCGCCGCGGCCGCCTCCTCCTCCGCGTCGGTGGAAGCCACCACCGCCACCGCCCCGGCTTCGGAACCGGTCCCGAGACATGTCTGTGATCAAGGGGCGGTCGAGGCAAAAGCGGAGAAGACGTTCAGGGAACGTGGATGCCACCTTGCTTCGCACAAGATGGCGGATGACACAGGCGGCGCGCCGCCTTTGTCCTCTTCTTATATAGGGCGGCTGGCACGGCCCCGCCTACTTCTCGATATGTAGCTCCAATAGCCAATTGCAAGTACTGTACTTGGTGACGCTAGGTTACGAAGATTTCATCTCTCCTATTGGCTCTCGATGAGAGGCGGGAGGAATGGAGTGGTTGAAGATTTCAGTCGGCCAATCAGCGGAAAAGGAGTTGTCTGTAGGCCACCGTGATTTGCTGGGAGTTATTTGAAAGGGTTCGCCAGAGCAATTTTCCCGTGAAAGCAAATAGCCAGGGCCCTATCAGCTCCTGGGGAGAGATGTTAGAAGACCCTTTTCTTTCTTGATTGCCCTTATGAGCGGCCTACTGGTATCTTTTCCCTGAAAGAACAGTAGTCTCCAGTTCAAAAGCATAAATTAGCTTTGTGCTGGGCCAATGGAATTAAAGAAAATTTTACAGATTTCGTACACAGCATTTACTGATTTGATTTTGGAACCTCATTGGAGTATTGGTTCTAGAAGTATAAATGTCTCAATAGGCTTAAGTGAGTGTTCTCTTTGCTCAAAAAGGCCTTGATTTTGTGGTATATATATAGACTATTTACAAACACAAATCACAGAAGGAATTAAATATTTTTCTTAATTCTACCACAAAACACATTAAGATACTTTAAAATTACCATATAAAATATATATATGGAACCAAACCAATGGACAACCTTCTTATTTCGAAGTGCATGAGCCATTTCCCTTAATACCTTTCTTAATTAGTGTCATCTAGAGACCATCCTAAAGGAGATCAGTCCTGGGTGTTCATTGGAGGGACTGATGTTGAAGCTGAAACTCCAATACTTTGGCCACTTGATGAGAAGAGCTGACTCATTTGAAAAGACCATGATGCTGGGAAAGATTGAGGACAGGAGGAGAAGGGGACGACAGAGGATGAGATGGTTGGATGGCATCACCAGCTCGATGGACATGGGTTTGGGTGGACTCCAGGAGTTGGTGATGGACTGGGAGGCCTGGTATGCTGCAATTCATGGGGTCGCAAAGAGTCGGACACGACTGAGCGACTGAACTGAATTGCAGAGACCTTTGGATGGATCATTCCTCTGGTTAATGTTAGCCCGTGGCTCATGTCTTCTTTTCTAATTCTGTACATCATTCACCATCTGAATGGATGACCACCCAATAATACTCTGTCAGTCCTTTAACTCCTCACCTCCAGCCATCTTTCCTTCTATCCTGTGTTAGCCACCCCACCCACATCGTAGTTAATCCTGTTTGTTATTGCCAGGAATAACATCCCTTATAAAAAAATTTCTACTTCAGAATCCCAGTCAACATTGTAACTTCTGAGTCTGACTTCATCAGAACCACTAAACCAGGACTTACCTGGCAGTCCAGTGGTTAGGCTTTCATGCTCCCACTGTAGGGTTCACAGGGTTGATCCCAGGTTGGGAAACTAAGATCTCATATGCCATACAGCCAGAAAAAGAGAAACAACTCCAAAATTTTCACTTTCTCATTCATAACTGTGTCACCTAGTTTAGATGTTACAATTGCCATAACTCTCTCCATTATACTCACCTGGTAAAATTCCGTTTCTGGTTGGACCAAAGAATTCACCTTCTTTAACAAGGGCTGAGGCTTTCACTTTAAATTTTGACCACAGATCTCAAAAGGGCATTAGGCTTTTCCTGTCAATCTTACCGAATTTCCCTAGTGAGTTCACTTTCTCTCTTCCAGAGATAGTGTATTTCACGCTTTCTCTGTTCAAACTCCAACACTCTTCTGTCACTTCCCCATAACTAATGACTTCTCATGTTTCTTCGAGAAAATAAAAATCACTAGATGGGAACATTCTCATCCAGCTAGAAGCCACCAAACTACTTGCATCTGCACCCATCATCTCTGACTTCCTTCCTGATATCATGAAAAGTGTATCTCTGCCCCTACCAAATGGCAAGCCCTAGGCCCCCACCCGCCACTCCTGCCCCAATGATTTGGATTCCACGCTGCACACCCCCCCCCACCCATGCCATCTCAGGGATTTTTCTTTGCTGTATCATCAGTTACTTCTACTGAATCATTTCCATCTTAAACAAAACTTTCTCTTTACCCTATCATTTCATTTCTTCCACTCTTCTTTGCAACAGCACTAAAATTGTCTATGCTCAGTTCAGTTCAGTTGCTCAGTTGTGTCTGACTCTTTGCAACCCCATAGACTGCAGCATGCCAGGCTTCCCTGTCCATCACCAACTCGCTGAGCTTGTTTAAACTCGTGTCCATCGAGTCAGTGATGCCATCCAACCATCTCATCCTCCATCGTCCCCTTCTCCACTTGCCTTCAATCTTTCCCAGCATCAGGGTCTTTTCCAAGGAGTCAGTTCTTCACATCAGGTGGCCAAAGTATTGGATTTTCAGCTTCAGCATCAGTCCTTCTAATGAATATTCATAACTGATTTTCTTTAGGATTGACTGATTGGATCTCCTTGCTGTCCAAGGGACTCCCAAGAGTCTTCTCCAACACCACAGTTCAAAAGCATCAGTTCTTCGGTGCTCAGCTTTCTTTATGGTCCAACTCTCACATCCATACATGACTGCTGGAAAAACCATAGCTTTGACTAGATGGACTTTTGTTGGTAAAGTAATGTCTCTGCTTTTTAATATGCTGTCTAAGTTGGCCATAACTTTTCTTCCAAGGAGCAAGTGTCTTTTAATTTCATGGCTGCAGTCACCATTTGCAGTGATTTTTGGAGCCCAAGAAAATAAATCTGTCACCGTTTCCATTGTTTCTGCATCTATTTGCCGTGAAGTGATGGGACCAGGTGCCATGATCTAGTTTTTTGAATGTTAAGTTTTAAGGCAACTTTTTCACTCTCTTATTTCAGTTTCTCTTCACTTTCTGCCATAAAGGTAGTGTCATCTGCATATCTAAAGTTCCTGACACTTCTCCTGGCAATCTTGATTCCAGCTTGTGCTTCATCCAGCCCAGCATTTTGCATGATGTACTCTGAGTATAAGTTAATTAAGCAGGATGACAATATACAGCCTGATGTACTCCTTTCCCAATTTGTAACCAGTCTGTTGTTCCATGTCCAGTTCTAACTGTTGCTTCTTGACCTGCATACAGATTTCTCAGGAGGCAGTAAGGTGGTCTGGTATTCCCTTCTCTTTAAGAATTTTCCAGTTAGTTGTGATCCACACAGTCAAAGGCTTTGGTATAGTCAATAAAGCAGAAGTAGATGTTTTTCTGGAACTCTCTTGCTTTTTCTATCATCCAATGGATGTTGACAATTTTATCTGTGGTTCTTCTGCCTTTTCTGAATTCATCTTGAACATCTGGAGGTTTTCAGTTCACGTACAGTTGAAGCCTCGCTTGGAGAATTTTGAACATTAGGTTGCTAGATTGTGAAATGAGTGCAATTGTGCAGTAGTTTGAACATTCTTTGGCATTGCCTTTCTTTGGGATTGGAATGAAAACTGACCTTTTCAAATCCTGTGGCTGCTGCTCAGTTTTCCAAATTTGCTGGCATATTGAGTGCAGCACTTTAACAGCATCCTCTCCTAGTATTTGAAGTAGTGCAGCTGGAATTATGTCACCTCCACTAGCTTTGTTCTTAGTGATGCTTCCTAAGGCTCACTTGACTTCAGACTCTAGGGTGTCAGGTTCTAGGTGAGTGATCACACCATCATGGTTATCTGGGTCACAAAGATCTTTTTTGTATAGTTTTTCTGTGTATTCTTTCCACCTTTTCTTAATATCTTCTGCTTCTGTTAGGTCCATACCATTTCTGTCTTTTATTGTGCCCATCTTTGCATGAAATATTCCCTTGGTATCTAATTTTCTTGAAGAGATCTCTAGTCTTTCCCATTCTACTGTTTTCCTCTATTTCTTTGCATTGATCACTAAGGAAGGCTTTCTTATCTCTCCTTGCTATTCTTTGGAACTCTACGTTCAAATGGTATATCTTTCCTTTTCTCCTTTGCCTTTTGCTTTTCTTCTTTTCACAGCTATTTGTAAGCCCTCCTCAGACAACCATTTTGCCTGTTTGCATTTCTTATTTTTGGAGATGGTCTTGATCACTGCCTCCTATACAATGTCATGAAACTCTTTCCATAGTTCTTCAGGCACTCTATCAGATTTAATCCCTTGAATCTATTTGTCACTTCCACTGTATTGATTTAGGTCATACCTGAATGGTCTAGTGGTTTTCCCTACTTTCTTCAATTTAAGTCTTAATTTTGCAAGAATGAGTTCATGATTTGAGCCACAGTCAGCTCCAGGTCTTGTTTTTGCTGACTATATAGAGTTTCTCCATCTTCTACTGCAAAGAGTATAATTAATCTGATTTTGGTATTGACCATCTGGTGATGTCCATGTAGAGTTGTCTCTTGTGTTGTTGGAAAAGGATGTTTGCTATGACCAGTGCGTTCTCTTGGCAAAACTCTTAGCCTTTGCCCTGCTTCATTTTGTACTCCAAGGCTAAACTTGCCTGTTACTCCAAGTATCTCTAGACTTCCTACTTTTGCATTCCAATTCCCCATGACGAAAAGGACATCTTTTTTATTTATTTATTTATTTATTTATTTATTTATTTTTATCACAACCATAGTGTATCTTTTTTTTTTTTTTTTTTTTTTACATGTATTCCCCATCCCGGTCCCCCCTCGCACCTCCCTCTCCACCCAATCCCTCTGGGTCTTCCCAGTGCACCAGGCCCGAGCACTTGTCTCATGCACCCAACCTGGGCTGGTGAACTGTTTCACCCTAGATAATATACGTGTTTCAATGCTGTCCTCTTGAAACATCCCACCCTCGCCTTCTCCCAGAGTCCACAAGTCTGTTCTATACATAGGAGTCTCTTTTTCTGTTTTGCACATAGGGTTATCGTTACCATCTTTCTAAA